TGAAATCAATAAAAACATATTTAAAACAAATAAAAATAATTTTAAAAATCCCTTTGGAGTAAAAAGCGTAGGTAATTACTATCTTTTTTTGGTAAATTAGTAAAAATTATACCTATTTTTGTCAGATCAGCAAAAAATATATTTTTTGGTGTGCCACAGAATTTTAGTAATTAGTTTACGTGTGCCATGAGGTGAGAAAGGTTGAAAATTGCTTCTTGACTGTACTAGCTTATTCATTTAGCATCCAATAGATTATGAAAAGTATGAGACTTCCTTTCCTACTTTAGTGAAAAATTTCTCCATAATTTCTGATCCACATGTGAGCCAAATATCTAGGACCATTTGGGAGAATTATCAAATGCACTTGCTTTTATTTCTGAAATATTCTGACTGGAAACTTGAATCTTCTAGTTTTTTTGGAAATAAATAATAGAAAAGCAACCAGTTAGATGTGAGTCTTAATCTATGGCATGAGGTAGGGATATAGATATCTTAGTGAAAAACCGGCACGTGATAATGCTTTTCATTGATTTGAAGCTGTTTGCCATTTTGTTTATTTTATTTCATTTCATTTTTAAATTTGTGATTCATCTATTTTTTAAAAGCATACTAGATTGGTGTTCTGCATGTGTTCCAAATGGCCATTAAATGGTCATTTACAGATTGATATCACCATTAGCTGCACAGATTTTTTTCCCAAACGTTTGGAGATACTGCTCCCTGGTAATGCTATATTAGCGCCACCATGTGGAGAGAAGGAACAATACTATTCTTTCTATGGTTAAAAAAAAAGAACTGATCCTTTTGAATTTAAGATTACTAAACTTTTGCCTACCATATTTTAGGAAAAACAGAACATCATTTTTAGAGAAAACCTCATTAGATGAACATTTATTGAGCGTTTGCTGGATGCTAGGCTTGTGCTAAGCCCTTTACATGTATTATCTCATTGCCTCCTTACCATGACCCATGAGCCACTGTTCCTCCTCTTTACAGATACAGGGAAGTGTTCAGATTAAGCACCTCAAATGCCTTCTAAAAGTCAACACCAAGAAGATATGCACATAAAAATATTAACTCCATCCACTAAACTTTCTATGCCCTTAAGACAAGCTGAGCAGTCCAGCTTTCAAATGTAAGCACAAGGCACATTTCTGTCTCTGAGGCATCATTTAATTACAGAAGGAAAGTCTTAGTTCGGGGTCTTCTCTATGGATCTCAACTGGTTTGCTTTTTGTCTGGCAGTTCAGAGAGCTGAGAGTGGAGTGAGCTCTAGTATTTTATTCCCGTAGAAACAAAACCCGTGTTGCCCTAATTGCTCAGAAGACTCCGAATGATCAGTCTAAAGATTTTCAGGTTGTTAACCTGACTCCTGGTCACATGACCTGGAGGTCCACAAAGGGCAGGAAAGTGTACTTTAATTGAAGGATATAAGTTTGTTACTTTCATTTGGGGTTATAAATCTAAACTACATCTTGTTAATATTGTACATCTCTTAATATGAGAGACTTGAAATATACATCTTAACTCATATACCCTGAAATACTACCGATCAAATATTTGCTTAAGTTAGTAAACATTAGACAGTAGCTCATAGCGCTGCTAGAGGCATCCGTCATTTATATTGTAGTATTAATAAAGCAAGGTCCATTTTGTGTCAGCACTTAGGGATGGCCACTTGGGGGAATGAGGTGTGTGAGGCGTGAAGGGAGGCAAATGCTTTGGAGCACTTTGGCTGGGACAGGGAAGTCTGAGTGAACCATCCTGATGCAGGAAGGCCTGGTCCCAGATATCAAATTTAGTCAGGGGCACTGACCTCTTTTCCCTTAGATTGTCAAATTTAAAAAATGACAACAATCCAACACAGCAATAGCCATCCAGTATGAATGCCCTGTCTTGAACCATAAATATACAGGTCATATAATAAAGTTGCATCTTGGTCACATTGCATGATAAGTTTGCAGCTGATTGGCTAATTCTTGGTACCAGATATCCTTATATTTTGAAGAAAAAAGGGTAGCTAATTACTACTACTACTATTATTATTATTATTATTATTATTATTATAATTATAAGTGCTTTAAAGTCAACTCACTTAATCCTTATAAGAAGATCCTGACATCTAGTTTTACAGATGCAGCAGCTGAGGCACAGAGATGAATAGCTTGCCGGTGTTACGCAGTTGGTAACAAGTGTTACTAGATTTGTCTCCAGGAAGCCTGACTCTAGAGGTTATGGCTCCTGACCATTGTTCAAATTGTCTGTATCCACGCCTGGGTTTTCTAGTTTTTAAAAATACTTTCAACTATGTTTTTTCATTTATGCCTTCAAAGTTACTATGAGGTAATATTCAGGAGCTGAAAGGGAAGAAACTATGGAAAGTAGAAAGAGCTTAAGGAGATTCCATTGAGACATTCCATGAATTTGAGGACACTAGAGTTGGAAAGATGTTTATAATTGCATTTGTGCAAATTTTAAAAGTTAGATGTACATTATCATGACTAGTATTTACAAGAAGTTTACTGTTTGACTACATTGGGTTGTTTTTTTTTTTTTTTTTTTTTTGTATTTTCAATTTCAGTCTATTATTCTTAGAGGGAGGGATGCATTTTTCAGTTGCCTTTCCATGAAACAATATATTTCTAATGGCAACAGAGTGAGCAGGTCTTCCCCTTAAGTATAAGAAATGTTCTGTAGACATTAAATGATTCTTCATGGGTATAACCGAGAAAGAACATAATGAAGAAAATGTAAGTATTTAAGTTTTGAGTCCTCTCAATCCTAAATTCAATTTCTGTAACAATGGCAACATCACAAACTCTCCCTCGGACTTAATTCAATAACGTCATAGGTACTTGAGGAATAATAATTTTTTGAGTCCACATAAAGGGTGCTCTCTTAACACTTGGTAATCAAATACTGCATGAGACCAGGGAGTTAGAAAATACGTATTATCTTCATTTTGTGGATAAGGTGATAGATAAAGAGGGAGGAAAAAGACTGACAGTAACCAAAGTGGTAGATAGGCAGTGGTTACAAAACCACTAAGACCATGTAATTCGCCTGGTAGGCCCTTCTCTGATCAAGATATTTTAGAGTCAGCATATGAAGGGCACGGGAGAATCATTGCAGCAACCATGTCTTGCAAAATTTAGAGATGGATAGAGAAATACTCAAATGAAATTGTAGTTTCTTACCCAGTTTTTAGAAGCTATACTAGAGCAGGAGAGAATTGCAGAGGTCAAGTTTTGCTCCTATAGGAAGCGTGCAGGAAGATAGCACCTTGGGGAATCCCAATGGAGAAATAGCCTTCTGTCCCTACACGTGAACACCCTAACGGCCTAACCTACTTGTGGTGACATGAGAAGCAGAACAGAAGTAAACATCTGTAAAAGCTCAGGAAGGTTTTAAAACTGTAAAAGTTCTCATGTGGAAGCTGCTTCTAGCCAGGAAATAAAACAAGAGTAACTGAAATTGTAATCAGAGTCATTAATGTAGGCGTAAAATGCTAGGAGAACGCAGGAAAACAAAGACATTCTATAAGAAAAGTAATAGTGGACGATTTTAAAGTCCCTATAAATGTAAGAAATATTTTAATGAATTCAGTTGCAGGACTCTCTGAGGTGCTAAAACCGTTTTCTTTCGGAGTTTTTTCACATCAGAGATCATTTTGGTGAGATTCCTTACTAAGTGGTAGAAATGAAATCAACAGTTTGACAAAATACAACTTGATTATTATTTTCATGGCTTTATTAAGAAGCAGGAAGAATTTGGCAGTTGATTAATCCTGTGGTAAAGATTAATTCAAATGTATAAAGGGTGGCCACCAAGAGATTATGTGAAAAGCAACCTTATAGTTTTGAAATAATGCTTTGTGAGTTACTTAAAAAATTATACATATACCACAGGCCTTTGGATAACAAAATAAGCACACTTAAGATAGGTACCCTTGAGGAACTCTGAGATGCAGAATTCAGAATGTCTGCAAGTGGCTGGTGCAGGAATACCACCTGGAATTGACCAGGCAATAAAGCGTTTGGCAGACACAGCCAGCGACCTCTCATTTCTCTCTAATGCAGTCCCATCTCTCCCTCCCATCCCCACCCCCCGCCATGTGCAGCAAGTAAAAGAGATTTACCTGTTTTGGAAATCCCCATATAATGTATGTAAGTTTGCAACCCGTAGAGCCTATGACTAAGTTGGTTGCTGGAATCAAACAGCTGTGATCCCACTACCAGCTCTGTTCTTTTCTAGCATTGCGAAATGGGGCAAGTTACTTCGTCTTTCTGGGCCACAGTTTAATATTTGTAAAATGGGAATAAAAACTTTCAGAAGTTTTACATCTCTATTAGGGGTGCAGTGTTAATTATTTTATTTTATTGTTTTTTAACTTGAAAATAGTTTTATTGATTTTTAGGAAGGAAGAGGGAGAGAGGGAGAGCGAGCAAGCATCCATGGCTGCCTCCTGCACGCCCCCTATGAGGGGCCAGGGGTTGAGCCTGCAACCCAGCATGGCCCTGATCCGAAATTGAATGGACAGCCTTTTGGTGTGCGGGACGATGTCCAACCAATGAACCACACCGGCCAGGTCTTTTTCACTTTTTAATGTACCCTATGGCAGTAAAATGCTTTTGTTTTGTTAATTCTCACCTGAGGATATTTTTCCATTGATTTTTAGAGTGGAAGGGAGGGAGGGGGAGAGACAGAGGGAGAGAAACATCAGTGTGAGAGAGACACATCAATTGGTTACCTCCCCCTTGTGTCCCAACCAGAGCCGGGGACTGAGCCTGCAACCAAGGTCTGTACCCTTGATGGACATTGAACCCAGCACCCTTCAGCCTGCACACGGCTCTATCCACTGAGCCAAACCTGCCAGGGCAGTAAAATGCTTTTGTGGCCTGCACATTTGTTCTCTATTTTATAAGTTGAATTACCAAGGGCAAAGCGCACTGTCCTTTCCCTCTACCAGTCATTTTCTGAGTCGTCTCTCTGCCTTCCAGAATCCCCTACTTTGAAACTAGCGCCGCCAATGGGACAAACATAAGCGAAGCGATCGAGACGCTCCTGGACCTGATCATGAAGCGGATGGAGCGGTGCGTGGACAAGTCCTGGATTCCCGAAGGCGTGGTGCGGCCCAATGGCCACCCCCCTGCTGACCAGTTAAGTGAAGGAAAGCCCAAGGGGGCCTGTGGCTGTTGAAGAGTCAAGCGAGCTCCACAATGATGTGAGTGGCCCGTGTCTGTAACCTCCTCTGTGGGTGACACGCGGCACAGAGAGGGATTGACGGGCATTGTGTGCAGACTCCTCACTATCCCGATTAGGCCAATCAATAAAGCATCCAGTTTTAAAATCAGTTTGCCGCAGCTTTTTAAACATTTCTCTAAGATTCAGCCCGAGAGTTAGGAGGAATGTTGCACATAGCCAAAAGTGCCTTCTAAAACCTTACTTAGCCAATGGCAGTAGATCATTCAAGGATTCGGGATTTTGTAGCCACAGAAGAGTGCATTTATTGTGAAGAATGACTGAAGATATCGTCACCTGCCTTAACAGAGACCGGCCCAGTGTCTCACATTCGAGATCTTAGATGCAATTATAAAACTATCAGTCTTTAACCCAAATGGAAATATCTTACTTGTACTGTAGGTGGTGACCTAAAATGCCTTGCATATTAAACCCCTTGAATATTAAACAAAAATATGCACAAACATCGGGTTCAGTGTCCTCAAATATTAATTCATGTAAGCATCCTCTTTAAAATGAGTACTGGACAAATGATGGCCATATCTCTAGACCCTGGAAAAACTGGATCAATCAAGTATGTACTGACCGTGATTCTTGTTTGTGGGGAAGGGATTGGGGCTGAGGCCAGGGGTGGCTTACTATATAGCATGAGCAACTGAAATGGGGCTGAATGCCCAGTGCGGCTGCTGTATTCCATTGCTCTTAAGGTTTGATAGAAGGGACAGAGAACTAGATTGTCGTGGCTTTAGTTCACTGTGATCTTAGCATTTATCCTTGGCCTACACGTGGCCACATCTGAACATAGCTGGTGCTTATGCTAAGTTGTTTGTCGTAAGTAAATATTTAGCTTCTTTTTCTTCATATTTGTAATGTTGGTCTGGTGTCCTCTTTCAATTGGCATGTGAACTACCAATCTTCTGTCTTTGCCATCAGGCTCTGGGTTGTTGATCTGTGCAACTTGTTTTATTTTTGCATTGGCGGAGTTGAAGGAATTTGTTCTTAATTATGTAAAACGTCCTTTTGCTATTTAGTGGACAATTTAAGTGGTTACATTTGCACTCCAGCTCAATATAAGGAAAATAAAGTGTTCTACGGCTTGTATTCTTTACTGGGATCAGGGGCATCTGTATATGCTGGGTCTTGCCAAGGTCACGTATTCTTCTACATTGCCAAAGTGTCTTTATACCCAACGAAAGATGGTTTTAAAATGTGCTTTGTGGCAGTTCATAAAGGTCAAAGGGGACAATTCTTATTTATTAAAGTGGTTTAAATAGATTAAAATTTCCAAAAAGTTGAATAACTATTTAGAGAACAACACATTATAATTTAAATAAATGTATTTACATAAAATAAATATAAATGTATGTTGTGGTAGCAGAGGTTTGGCAAAGTGTAATTAGAAAAATACAACTCTTTTGGAAAGTAATTGCTTTTACATGATTATTTTCAAATGGCTTTTTCTTGAGTACCTATTCTGTTTTGTTTATTTTTGCCACAACTCCCTTAAAAAACTTAGCTGTGGTTACTAAGATGTTATGTATTTCTGTCCTTAATATGAGAACTTCTTTTACATCCTAAAGAAGCCATTGTGTCCTATGCATTTGAATTGTATATGCTGGTGAGGAAAGATTCAGACACTTCAGGGGCAGAGTCATGCTCACAGTGGTACCTTCTCAAGTGGCCATGTCAGTGGAGTAAATCATATTTTTACATTTACATATCAGGGAACATTTTATATGGTCTGTTTGTATAATTAAAAAGAAGATGATTTTGTATGTTTCTGTTTTTTTAAGAACCAAATGAGCAATTAGCCACAGATCCTATTGGCCTTAAACATAATATACAATTAAAAGATGTATACCTGATACAGTGCACATACATGAACTGTCTTTAATTATTGAAATAAATAAATTGTATTCTCTTTGGAAATTCATTGTTTAAGTTTGTTATTGAGGCGCCATATTTTTGTGAGTCAATGTATTTTTCTATTTATAAGTCTGTGTAAAAGTAAATTGTATCTTCAGTGAGTATTGTGCCAATTGAGCTTATAATAAAGCTACAGGCCCAGTGCAAGAAATTTGTTCATGGGATGTGTGTGTCCCTCAGCCCGGTCTGCACCCACTCACAATCCGGGACCCCTTGGGGGAGGTCCTACTGCCAGCAGTCAGACATCCCTCTCGCAATCCAGGACCGCTGGCTCCTAACTGCTTGCCTGCCTGCCTGATCACCCCTAACCACTTGCCTGCCTGCCTGATCGCTGCCTGCCTGCCTCATTGCCCCTAACCACTCACCTGTCTGCCTGATCACTCCTAACTACTCTGCCTGCCTGTCTGATTGCCCCTAACCACCTCTGCCTGCCTGCCTGATCACCCCTAACCGCCTCTGCCTCAGCCCCCACCGCCAAAGCTTCATCAGGAAGGATGTCCAGAATGATGTCTGGAAGGTCGTTCAGCTGTCCGGTCTAATTAGCATATTATGCTTTTATTATTATAGATCGTGGTCTAGTCTCTCAAGTTCATATATGAATGTAACTTCATTTCCCATCACATTGTTTCAAACCAGAGGTCATAACACTAAAGGAAACCAAATCCAGGGGCACAATTTCCATCAGTTCCTTGATGAGGGGCCAACCAAGACAACATGTTCTGGAGAAAGTAAGCCAAATATGTTACATCAAACATATGTAGAGCACGTATCACGTGGAAAGTGTTGTACTAGCCAGTCTTAAATGAACTAAACAAGGATGGTAAGGGCCTGAACAAAGACCAAGTCTGAGAGATGGATTCAAGAGGCATTGGGAAGGTTAGAGTAATTGATTGGATGAGGAGGGCATATGTGGGGAGATGGACTCTCTGACCTATTTCACTCACTCCTCGGCAGGTACCCTGGCTTTGGAGCAGTCAAATATGCTCCTGCCTCAGGAATATTAGCAGTTCTTTCTGTCTGGGTAGCTAGTCTTCCATATATCTGCATGGCTCTCTCTCTCACCCTTTAAAGGTGTTCTGTCACCTTGTCCAAAAGGACTTTACTGCCCACCTTCTATAAAATAGTAGCTGCTTCAATAAAATGTTAAGGGGGGGAAATAGTAGTTGCTCCCCCCGCCCCATGGCCCCAACCAGATTGTTACCTCCTGACCTGTTATCCAGCTGTGCTTTTGTACATGTTCTTCATCACCACCTGGTATATCTTTATATTTGTCTCCATCTACTAAGATATAAGCTCCAAAATTGTTTTGCCACTACCCAGAAAAATGCCTGGTGCACATTAGATACTCAAATGGTTATTGGTTGATTGAATGAAGTACTTCAGAGGCAGCAAGGTCAAGTGAAAGAGTTTTCAAAATAGGAGTCACTGAATGTTCAAAGAGGGTAGAATTTGAAAATAAAAACAGCTTCAATAATATTTAGACATGGTCACATATAATAAATCCATATTGGTTTATTATGAGACAGGAAAACTGAGAAGTACATTCTGATCTTTTGAAGTTCATGTTAGGATAATCTATTTAAGAAATGTTTCATAAGGAATGCTTTGTTTGGCCTTTTTTTTTTAATTTTTTATAAATGGATAATCTCTATATGGTATCCCCAGGTCTTCTATTTTGAGCAAGCTGGCTATGTAATAGAGACTATATAACAGAAAAACTCCCACTATGCAACACTTGAGTAGCTGGATAAAATATAACGAACAGCCGAAACCGGTTTGGCTCAGTGGATGGAGCGTCGGCTTGCGGACTGAAGGGTCCCGGGTTCGATTCCGGTCAAGGGCATGTACCTGGGTTGTGGGCACATCTCCAGTAGGGGGTGTGCAGGAGGCACTGATTGATGTTTCTCTCTCATCGATGTTTCTAACTTTCTATTCCTCTCCCTTCCTCTCCGTAAAAAATCAATAAAATATATTTAAAAAAATATATAACGAACACATTATTTAAATGTACTGTTGACCTCTCACGAAAGTAAGGGAAGAAATACTGCCTTTCTTCACCCACAACTCAGACAACAGCAACCATAGTAGCAACAGAGGGAACTTACAACAACATGATTCTGAGTGTGGTTGGGTTTTGACAATATTAGTAATCGTGTTGCTTGGTTTTAATGCCTATATGCCATCAGGAGAGAGAGCTTTGGATCTGTTAGAAGTAGCGCACTGGAGTGGAGAGCCACCTACCCCCAAACACACAAAGCCTGCGCCCAGACTGTCTTAGTCTCCCCTGAGAATTTATAACCCCAAGTTATTACAAAGTTTTGAGGTTTGAGCTTACAAGTGTACTATCTTCCCCCCCCCCCCCCCCCGGGAGTATCTTAAAGCCAAGAAATTGATAAAAGAATTAACAATGTGATTTGTGGTTGATGATACCTCTGGTTTACTTGGTAGAAGCAGAGCAAAATCTTTTCAGAGGGAACATCTTCACTCAGACCTTACAGGATTCTTTAAAAAAAATTATATATACATATATATGTGTGTGTGTGTGTATATATATATATATATATATATATATATATATATATATATTTATTTCAGAGAAGAAGGGAGATGAGAGAGAGATAGAATCATTAATGATGAGAGAGAATCATTGATCGGCTGCCTCCTGCACACTGGGGACAGGCCCATAACCCAGGCGTGTGCCCTGACCAGGTTGATGCTCAACCACTGAGCCTGCTGGCCAGGCCTTACATGATTCTTATGGAAAACACCCTACTAAGCATGGACTCACAGTTTAAAATAACAACTCATTACTTCCCCAACCCCCAGCCTCAATAAACCAAAACCAGCAGGATTTGGTCATTAAGAACTTCAAGTAATATACTTATCAGATGGAGACCATAAAATAAAAATGTTTAAGAGAATCTATCCTAATATATAAAAAGCCAGGGTCGTCATGACCAAAACAACCAGATGGATGACCGAACAGCAGGCTGCATTGGGTAACAAGGTCAGCAGGGGGGTTAAGTGAGGGACGACCAAAGGACTGAACAGCAGGCTGAGTAAGGCAACCAGGCTGGCAGGGGGGTTAGTGAGGGACGACCAAAGGACTGAACAGCAGGCTGAGTAAGGCAACCAGGCTGGCAGGGGGGTTAGTGAGGGACGACCAAACAACTGAACAGCAGGCTGAATAAGGCGAACAGGCTGGCAGGGGGGTTAGTGAGGGACAACCAAACAACTGAACAGCAGGCTGAATAAGGCGAACAGGCTGGCAGGCAGAGGCGGTTAGGGGTGATTAGGCTGGCAGGAGAGGCAGTTAGGGGCAGGCAGGCAGGCAGGCAGAGGCAGTTAGGGGTGATCAGGCCTGTAGGGGTGGCAGTTAGGGGCGATCAGGTTGGCAGGAGAGGCAGTTAGGGGCCGGCAGAGGCAGTTAGGGGTGATCAGGCTGGCGGGGGGGGGGGGGCAGTTAGGGGCAATCAGGCAGGCAGGCAGGTGAGCAGTTAGGAGCCAGCGGTCCCAGATTGTGAGAGGGATGTACCGGATTGGAGAGGGTGCATGCTGGGCTGAGGCGACCCCTCCCCTGTGCACGAATTTCATGCACCGGGCCTCTAGTATATATATAAAAGTCCAGCAACCAGAACAGCGGAATAACTGGTTGCTATGACATGCACTGCAGTGGCCAACCAGCCCAATTTGGGCCTCGAGATCGGCCTCCTCCAACCACCCACAGCCCTCCCCCCCAGCTTGCCCCCCTGATAGGCCTTGATTGCTGGCCAGGCTGAGGGACCCCACCCATGCACGAATTCGTGCACCAGGCCTCTAGTTATAAACATAAAAGGAATTGAAACATCTGGGAAAAGAAGAAGACATTATTAAAGATACAAGACTGGTTTGAATTAAAATAAATGACCTCACCTATGAAAAATATAGCCACTGATATTCAAAACTTAATGGTCAGACGTTAAATGGTAAGTTTGACAGAGTTGAAGCAAAAATTGGTGACCCAGAAGCTGGGTCAGTGGAAATTACACAGAAATTAGTAGAGAGATGCAGAGTTAGTGTGAAAGAGACTGAGAGATATAGGGGAAAGGTAAGAGGGCCAACTTATGTCTAACAGGAATTTTAGAAGCAGAAAGTGGAGAAAATAAAGGAAGAGGCAATATTTGAAAAGGAAATAGCTGAGGAATTTTTCAGAAATAATGAGACACACACCTTCAGTTTCAGGAATTGTGCTGTGTGGGAGTCTGGGGGGTGGGGGTGGAGGGGCGGGCGCGGTGAAGGATGTAGAAAAGACAGACAAAGAAATGGATCTTCCTGTGCCTGGCTGAGGCCACAGAGAGAGATCCAGAGGGCAAGCTGAGCCTTTATTTTACAGCCAGAGTAAACAAGGTAGTGGTCACCATAGTTACAATGTTCTTGTGAGTTTCACTTGTTTTGGCAGCACTTGTTGTATCCCTACAGCCCATTAGCTTCCCAGATAAGATCTAGGGATGGTCATAAGGCCAAGCCTAATTATGCTAAGAGGACTGTGCCCTCTAAGCTGGGACTTGTTTGTGGCTTTGCCAACAGGACAGTCCGAGCCTTAACCCTATAGCCGCTCCCTATAAGGAATCATAATTCTCAAGCAGGATACATAAAAAAAAAATAGTATTTCCAAGATTTCAATTCAATTTGTTGGATGTGGAACACATGCTCTTCTCCCCTCTCTTATATTCTATCCGAATTGAAAGGAAAACATAATTTCTAAGACTGCTTACTCACCCATTCAACCTAAAGTGAAGCACTGAGTATGGGGTTAAAACATAGATAACGGATGTGGATTCTGACATTGAAAGGGTACAGCTGGGTGGTCATTTAGATGTGAAGGCAGGACATTTCTTGTTCAAGTAGCAGGATAAAACAGAGGATCTGTGTAAAGGGCTTGGGAAGACTGGTGAGGCTCCTCTCTGTTGTTGAGGGGGATAAGAGAAGGACAAGATTAAACGAGGGTAAAATATTTTTCGGTC